CGAGCGTCGTTTACCACCGTGGCACGCGATCCGACATTTAAGCGCCGCTCCAATCGGATAATACGGCCCGAACGCGAAATGCAGATACCGAGCCGCGCGCTCCCGAAGGCGCGCTCACGCGGGACGGGCGATTAAGGGATCTTTATTACCGCGTGACACGCCTATAAACAGGCAATAAAGAAATCGCATAAATCCTTCTCCTCCGAGTTTTAAGGCGATACATCCACTTTTGTAGTTAAGCGGCGTGCGGCGCGCTCGCGTTTAACTGCCGGGGACGGTAATCGCGCTCGGTGCGATTTACTCAATTCCCTCCTTCGTACCTGTTTGCAAGAAGGATGCCATTCCGCGATTTCAATTGTTAACTCGGCGACGTCACTGGAGATATTCGTGTAAATTATAACAGCTACGTACCTTCTCTCAAATTTGTCATTCGCAAATCACCCTCCATTTTATGAACAATAAACGCCGGTGTACTGATAAAAGAGCGTCATCACACACCATTATTTAGCCTTTAAACAGAATGTTTTGTGTTATCGTATTTCACAAAGTGGGAGAAATCGTGGAAAGACAAAATTTAATTTAAAACGACGGAGAAAGATGCGCGGCGGTTGTCGCGACCAATTTTATTTTGAATTTTATTTGACTCACAATTTGATAAACTTGCCTTCGACCGAACTTTTTGTCCGAACGAATAACGTAATAAACACACGCGCGAGCGATATGTGATTAGTTCGGTCTGATTATCGTTGTGCTTGGCCGTGCAGCCCATTCAAGAAGCTAGTCGATTTCGATAAACGCAGCTGGACGACGTCGTTTTCCTCGCTGATACGAGGAAACGTTCTCATTTCTCTGCTTGGCTTCGTTTATTTATCACGCTGAACGTACCCCGAGATGCCTTCCGTTCGACCCACTCGCTGCAGAAATCGCGATATTTGCCACGGTGCAATTGAGGACGATCGATATCGACGGAACTTCTATCCGCGATCCCCACTCGCCATATCGCGGCTCAAAATTGCCACATCACAAAAAAAAAGAAAGAAAAAAAAGGAGAGAGAAATCGATACCTTTTTATGCATAATGTGGAGGAAATTGGAAGACGATTTCGGTCGGAATTGAGCATCGCTCCGCGAACGGTTGCTCGGAGATACTCGCAAAATGCACGAAAAATGCCATCATTATGGTGAGATTAACTCCCCCCTTTTTTTTTCATTGGAAAATAAATTGTATCTCACAGAGTAGGAGGAAAAAAATTTTAATACGACGGAGAGACAATGCCGCGGATGTCGCAACGAATTTTATTTGAATTTTGACTTCTATAATTGTCCACGGTATAGAATGAAAATTTACGTGCAACGCGTATATTAAATATTTAATATGTAAAATCGTAACTTCCGAATTGAGATAAATCATTATCAGATTATACAAATCTCTCCCAATTTGCTCGCACACCTTTGCCGTAGGTATTAACGAGAGAAAACTCCACCGCGCGAAAACGGAAGAAACATAATGTATGACACATCCAAGAGACAGTCGCAGGAATATAACATCAGTGAATAATGTTCAGCAAATCTCGAGATTTCCCGATCGTGGCTCGCTGCTGAACGCCCGGGACCGTTCAGTACGCTGCTCGCATTCGCGAACTTTATGAAGAAATTTCTCGCAGCTCGGTACGCATTCACTCGGCACGGACGTGCGGAAAATTCTCGCAATTCGTCCCGCTCGCTTATAATATACACACACACATATATATATGTATATATATATATATATATATATATCACGTATCGTCAATGGACTCGCGCGCTCGCCGGTCTGCGTCGCATTAACGACGACGTAAATCGTATTTGCATCGCGCGTTCAATTCTCCGCGCTCGGCGAGGCTTAAGCCCTTCTCGCCGGAGCGTGCGTGTGTATCCCTTCGTTTCCTTCTTTTTTTTTTTCCTTCCCGCTTTCTTATTCTTTTCTTTTTTTTTCCTCCTCTCTATCCTACGTTCACACTTTTCGGCTGAGATTCGCCGCGAGATGTCGGTACAAAATTTACGGTACATGGTGAGGATGGGCGGAGGGAGTAAAAAAAAAAACAAAGACTCACGAGAATCTCTATATTCACCTGTTCCGTTCTCCCCGCTCGGTCGGATGCGCGCATCGTACCGGCCTGGTCCTAGGATGTTGTCGAGCACCTGCTTCTCCTTCTCCCGAAAGTTCACCTTTATCTCACGCGTACATCTGCAAGAACACGTCACAGCATCGCTCGGTATCAAAAGGAAAAGAAGCTGTCTCTGAGAAAAGATCTGTAAATTTTTCTAATTCTTGCTCTATCGAAGATAAAAACTGATGGGAAAGAATAGAAAATATATTTTTTTGGACGATTCAGAAAGCTGTTTTACACGATTCATAACAAGTTTCAAAAGTGATTTCTATTTATATAATTTTTCTTTACCATATATTTATATATACATACATGCGTACTCAGATTCTTCGAATGTTTTTTTTGTATTACACGACGCATAAAGCGAATTATAAATAGCATACTCTTTTGAAATCCGATGCGAAATATAATCGAGTAAAGTGGGCTCGAAAAAAAAATACGCGCTGTCACGAGTATTTCATCGCGTTCGCAAATCCCAAACGGTCTTTGCAATTTTTTTCAGATTATTTTACATTAAATTTTAATTCTCGACTCTGCTTTATATTCGATTTGGCAAATGCAAAATTCCGAGTATGACGCACGTTGTGATCCGCTCGTAAACTTCACTTTCGTATAAATTTTATGTATCATAACAATAATCCTAGGTGGGTCAATAACATACGTCTTTACGAGGCACAGGAGCGTGCTTTCCTAAAATGTTTTTATGTTTCTCTCGTCCGGGACCGTCCGAGCTTGACGGCGCTCCAAAAACGCAACTGTTTTATTATAAATTCACGTGACAGACTGAGCTCGAGGCTCGCATTGTTAGCAACAGTTCGGCGCGTGTTTTCAAGAGACGGACATCGTCAAACAACCTACCTCGATGGATGCAGCAGGACCGCTAGTAACACCAGTAACGGTAGTACTCCAGGCCACATTGCGCCGGCCTGCAACCAAACAAGATGCACACATCTTCACAAAAATTCTGCGCCAAATTGCGAAAACGAATCCCTCTCTCGCATTAACGATGATTAAATATCTTATATCTCGCGCCGATCCAATCTACGTAATTACTCCCCTGCGGTTCGCGATAGCTCAGTTTCATTTAGACTCATTTTTACTTGCGCCTATCGGCATTACGTCAAATAAAAAAAATAAAATAAAATAAAAAGAGAGGAGTCAACGCGCCGGCTTTTTGCATGCGGAAAATCTACCCGCGCGTCTACCCGTTAATTACGTTGATTTTATGCGAACTCGACCGGTGTTGTTTCCAAACTAGACCGGCTTAATTACAATATCGTATGCGTGATATTTAATAGCGGAGGGACGAGCCCGACGAGCCCGAAGTACAAAGCCGGGGGATGCCTCCATTTACCATGTCTCACCAACTTTCCCGATGATTGATCGAATTAAGGCGATGTGGTATGGATCAAAGCGAAGACCGGTGTGTGCTCCTTTGCGCGCACCGCGCAAGAGTATCAACTGTCTCGCGAGATTAAATTGATTACGCGTGAGGGAGGAGACACGCGCGCGCGCGCACGCACGCACGCACGCACACGCTTTCGCTCTTCGTCCCCGTTCCACCCTTTTTCCCCGCAAAACCGAAGCAACCGAAGTTGATCGCTGTTCGCGTGCCACTGAAAGCTAAAGCGTTGAGCGCGAATTCTCGAAGTTCGTCCGACGAGTGACGGGAGCTATTCGTCTATTTGTCCCGCCTATTTACTCATCTCTGAGGATGTAACTCGGTAATGATTGCGAATTGGACGCCAGCCCCGACCGTGAAGTAAGATAGACGATAGAAGTGGTCGCGCTGCGTTTAAGAATTGAAGCGGTGCCAAGATACGCACCCGCGGCCTATTTCGGTCGGGGAAACCGTGGAATTCTGATGGATATGGTAAACGTGTGAGAAATGTTGTTCTGCACGTGTCCTCCCCGCAAGTGAAATACACGCACCGATTCTAGATACGTCATCACGTCGGGGAGTATATTTCGAGCTGTTGGAACGTTCATGGATGGATAATTGCATAAACATTCGCAGGAAAATCAGTGGATGTTTTAAGAGCGAGGAATACGGCAGATGCCGCAGATACTCTCCCCTCCCTCCCTCCCTCCCATTTCCCCCCCTCGAACGACGTTCGTCGGCAATATTGCTTTCGGGGTAAACCCGAAAGTTTCGAGTACCGTGACCCGGACCCGACCCGCGTTACAGCCGACCCGACCCCGAGAGCCGAGATATCCGCAGATTCCAAGTACTTGAAAGACCTTAATCGGCTGTTTGAATGCTTCGTGGTCAGCTTCTCTCTCCTGCCCCTCTCACCTGTGCATTATTCTTGCCGAGATATAATGCGCATAATTTAGAATTTTAATGAAAAAGTTATTTACGGGCAAGAAGGTACTAGAATACCTAATATAAGCAATGCGCGGTCTTATCTAAGCAAAGGTTCATCTTATAATTTCATCTTAATTTAAACACTCACCTTCGACCATGTACAATCGCCTCGAAACTGACAGAGTCGAACGAAAGAATCAATCCGCCGTGTGAATCTTACAAGAATATTAGAAATTCGCGCGCATTCGGTGAGTTAGTCTGAGCTCTTTAGTCTAATCTTCGCGATCTTTTTCTTAGAACGCTAGCACGTGGTCCGTGTTATTCCGCCAATTGAAGTTCCAGGTAATTGACGAGTGCAATCGTCTGCGACAAAGTACGTTAATGCGAAAATGATTTGACGGACGGTCCGTACTTTATCCCAGAAGGCCAGGCGCGAGAGGAGGAATGATTAAGTGTGATTGCGGCTAACGAGGTTCGTACGCGAACGGCAAACAAGCGAACGGGCAAGCACGTAACAAGAGGTCCTTTTCAGTATCAGCAATATCAATGTCGCAGCATCGGGGGAAGGTAGCCTACCCCTTATCGCCGCGCAACATCTCCGTTCGAATTACTCTCGCCCCGCCAGGCCAACACGTCATCGTTAGCAAATTAAAATTTTCTCAACGAGCAGCTTCTACCGGTTTTATCGGTAAACCGTAACGTGTCGTGTAGCGTAAAGTCGCGAGCGGAAAGTAGCGCGCGTCGAAAAGGAAAATTCCGAGGTGGAGAGAAAAGCCGCGCGAAAAGCAATGCACGAGGGGGAAAGAAATTATGAAAAGCTCGCAGCGATTCGCACAAGTATAGAAATAGATGATGTCCCGCAAACGTTCCGAGTTTCTCTCAAACGTTCAACGAGATTTGCCCGGAGTGGATGAAGAATATCGATCTCTTCTGGAGAGATTTAATGGACCTTCATATATACCGAAGCTACGTGAATAGACCACGCGGACGCCATAAGTCATAATTTAGGTGCCGTGCTGACAAATAGTGAGGAGAAAGAAGAAGAGCGTGCGAGTAGATTACCCCCGACGAGAGACAGGCAAGCAATTTACGACACATGCTCTCCTTCCCCGGGCCGGAGTTTCATCTCTTCCATCATTACACCGCGGACTAATGCCCCATACGGAAACATGGATTTCATCCGCGACAGATTAGCTTATCGCGCGAAATCACGGATCATCATCGCGATCAGTCGTTGATTGGTAAAAGCCAATTTGATGGCGGGTAAATAAAGCGCTCGAAAATGCATCTGCGCTGTAGTTTAATGGCAACGTATATTTGACGCATCCCTGCCATTTATCAATCTTGATGCAACCTTAATGGCGAAATGTACATGCGTCATGCTTATCATTGCGCGAAATCCGACGCGAAAAATAGAATTAACATGGGGCATGGCGATAAAAATCTAAGTATTCATAGCCTACCCCGGAATTATCTCTGCTAACTATAAACCATCTCTCTGGATGTCCTCTTTTTTGCTCGCTCTTTCCCTTCCCCTCTTGATTTTATCAAGAGAGAGATTTTGCTTAAGAGATATACAAATGTACATATAATGAGTATTATTTTCAGAAAAGACATATAAAACATAGAGTAAAGCTATATGCATTCATTCCCTGGTTACGCATAGCGACAAATCGAGATCCACGAGGAGGAGATGCAGTTTTCTGGTCGCGCGATCTTCGACAATGTCGACCGATTGATCCATCAGTCCGTTGGTCCGTATTCCGTTACGTTCGTATCCGCGTTCGAATCCGTTCTTTCCGTTCTGCCAATTGTCCATATTTATCTGTCGTCCCTCCGTTTCGGCGTTGCCGTCGATCCGCCCATCGGGTCCATCGGTCCATCTATCAGCCTCTACCCGTCCATCCCGTGTCACCGGTGAACTATCTGCGTGCATGCATGCATGCATGCATGCGTGCATGCGTGAGTGCATGCTTGCATGCATGCATGCGTGCACATACTTATCCAATTTACCCGTC